AGCAAAGGCAAAATTAAAACAGAACTCAAACTCATCTATGTGCTTTGGCATAGTGATTTTTAACAGCAATTTCCCAGGAAACGCAGCACCCTAATCCAATTTTTATACTCCCGTGTATGCTCAGAACCCTCAAACATTACTATTATGGCCTATTTCACATTCATTCATCCCTGCATTCACATCAGAAGACAGTAATGAATAGGAGGAAAGTTTCTACAGTCAGATCACATAGATTCAAATCCTAGCTCCACCACTTTCTCAGCTGCGTAACTATAAAATTTATTCCTCTAATCTCATTTTTTCCAACTAGGATGCAGAAATGATAGCGTAATAATCACAGTCACCTTCGTCAGTTCTCCCAAAGATTTAAAGCTAATACATGATTAAAAAAAAAAAAAATACACGATTGCACTTAGCAGTGGACTTGACACACAGTAAGTCTCCAAAAACATTAGCTGTTATTGAAACTAGTATTCAAGGGGCGCCTGGGTGACTCAGTAGGTTAAGACTCTGCCTTAGGCTCAGGTCATGAACTCAGTGTCCTGGGATCGAGCCCCACATTGGGCTCTCTGCTCAGAGAGGAGCCTGTTTCCCCCTCTCTCTCTCTGCCTGCCTATCTGCCTACTTTTGATCTCTCTTTGTCAAATAAATAAATAAAATCTTAAAAAAAAAAAAACTAGTATTCAAAAGGTATTGAGGACCCGCACCCATTGGATTCAAGGCAAGAGCACTGGGTGCCAGGACTGCACCATAAACAGGCCAAGGCTCTCTCTGCCCTCGTAGGTCTTGCAGTGTCCTGGGAGAGCAGACAAAAAAGAAGGAAACAGATCAATGAGATACTTAGAATTTTGGTAAAGCACTAAGCAGGAAATGCACCAGTACTAAGAGGGGACAACAGGGAGGAAGCTACCAGGTAAGGGGTGATCAGAAAAGGCCCCTCCAAGGAGGGACATTTTAGCTGAGAGCAAATGTGGGAGAAGGATCTTTAGGAGAAGAATAGGGGAAGGGTGCCAAGGAAGAGAGAAGGGCTTGTACAGAAGAGGAGGAGAGCTGGAACATTAGAGGAACTGACAGTTCCAACCTGAAAGAATGGCTGAGCAAGTAGCAGAGGTTGGAGAGGGAGAGACAGAGGCCGAGCACCTCAGATTAAGAAGTGTGGGTGTGGGTCCAAGTGCAGTGGGAAGACTGCAGGGTGGGGAGGGAGGGGCGGGGGGGGTGGATAACATGACCTGGTTTGCTTTTAGTAGCATCACTCCGGCCACAACGGGAATGAACAGAGGTTAGAAGAAGGGAGGAGCAGGCCAGAGCAGAAACTGGGAGACCAAGTACAGGCAGAGGCAGTCACCCAGCTGGGAGGACGGCAGCCGGATTAGGAGGATGGAGAGAAGGCAGGAGTTGAGGTATTGTGAGCCCCGGCCGACGGGCTGCGCTGATGGGTTGGATGTGGGGTGAAGAATCGAAGACAACTTTCAGGTGTTTGGCTTGAACAATGAGAGGACAGTAAGGACAAAGACAGGGAAGGCAGGGGGTGAAGAAAGCTGGAGAGAGGGGAGACAGGAGTCCGGAATAAGGGATATACATCTGGAGGGTGGAGAGGGAGATACTTGGGGCATATGAGGTTTGAGAGGACAGTGGGGCAGCAAGTAGAGACAGCAGGAAGGCTTTGGGTAAAAATGCAAGACTAGCATGAGAGAAAGGTCCAGGAGGGGGTCTAACCAAGGGAAGGGGGGCTAGCATCCAAAGGGTATTAAAGTCCTGGGGATGGATGAGATCATTTAGGGAGAGAATATGATGACAGAAGGGAGGTAGCCAAATGACAAAAGAGAAGAAATAATAAGAAACCAGGGTGGTGTGTGCCTGGATGGCTCAGTCAGTTAAACGTCTGCCTTTGGCTCAGGTCATGATCTCAGGGTCCTGGAAAAGAGCCCTGGATCGGGCGCCCTGCTCAGTCGGGGACTTCTCCCTTTTCTGCTCCCCCTGCTTGTGCTCTTGCTCTATCTCTCTGTCAAATAAATAAAATAAAAATCTTTTTTAAAAAATGAAAGAAAAGAAAGCAGGTTGGTAATCTAAAACTGAGCATGACTGCCGGTCAAGCAGCCCGCGCACAAACACACAGAACTGCCCCAACTCTGTGCTCGATAAAGGCCTAAGGAACAAGTAAAAATAAATTCTTAATGCGTTCCTTTTAGGACATTAAAAGAAAACTTTCATTTAGAATTTTCCCCCAAGTTCTTGTATATTTGAGGCATAAGAAAAAAACATTTTTGAAGGTCTATGGATTGTATACAAAGGAATCCTTTTCCTTATGCGCAAAAAACAAGGATTTTTTTTTTTTTTTCAAAAACTAGCCTAATTGAAATTCAAGCTTTTAAAAAGGCTTACATTCATGCCATTTCCTTTCTGTAAAAATTCTATCCCAAGATACAATTTTCCCCATCCTTATAATGAAAATGCAATTATGTTTTACTACAGATATCATTTCATACTGAAAGATGAAACTGTTACTTTCAAACCGTTCAAGAGTCACATGAGAGATGTAAAATGCTCAGAGATCAAGGATTTATTTTAAAATGTTGAGGGGAAAAAAAAAAACTTAAGTATACCTGTGAGGCCATCCAAAAACTGATAAGGAGTTGAAAAGGATAGAACTGCCAGGAAAGTAAGTAAATATAACAGCTACTCCTCAAATGAAAACACATTAAAGCTGTAATTATATCTCTGGGTATCTGTTGACACAAAAAAACTCACTATGCTCTTGAGGCTTGTACTATCACTAAGAACTACCGAATTGAAATCACAGCTGTAAACATAACTGGATACTTTACACTTTTCGAAGATTTCCAATGTGACACAAGGGATAACGCATACAAAAAAGAGCCAGTAACAACTGCCAAAAATGTTTCTTCCCTCGATTGTTCAAGTTAGATCAAGACTATAATTCTTAGATTATAAGCCTCACTTGTAAAATTCTTCTCAGATACGTAAAGGAAAGGACTATCTTGACTTCTAACGGATTGTTGCCCCACTCCAGGATAGACCTATCTAAAAGCCTAGGAGGCTACAGGAAGGTGATAAGAATGGTCAGATAATGAGCATTCATTCACTCACTCATTCAACAAATATTAAGCAGCTATAATGTGTCAGGTGCTGTTTTGAGCCCTGAGGACACATCAGTGGAAAAGTCTCACATTTCTGGGTGAATGGGGGAAAAGAGACATAAACTAACAAATAAATATGTACGCACCAGTGGGAGTAAGTGCTATGAAGAAAAGGAAGGTTAAGGAGGGTTAAGGAGAATAGGGGAATGGGGTGTATTTTACACAGAAGGGTCAGGAAAGCCTAATAAAGTTACATCTGAACAGAGACCTGAGCCAAGAACCATGATATCCAAGGAACAGAGTTCTAGGCAGAAGGAATAGAAAATGCAAAAGCACTGAGGCTGGCATATGCTTAAAGTTTTAAAGGAACAGCAAAGAGATGTGTTTGGCAAAACTGGAAGTGAGAACAGGGAAGTAGCCTAGTTAGCCAGGGCAAGGACTTCATATTTTACTTTAAAATGAGAAGCTACTGGAGCGCTCTAAGTAGAGGATCCAATTTATTTTTTTAAAGTATCACAAAGGGAACACAAGTTCTTACTCATACACAAGTTTTATGAGTAATAAATAGGTCCAATACATACCTACAGAAGAGGAGACAACATCTCCACCTTCAGAGTATTTTAAAGTTGCAAATCAGATTAAGCAAAGAATTATGTATAATCACCACTGAATCCCTACATCCATCCTCCTCCTCTCATGCCTTTATGAGGCATACATAATCTGTAAGATTATACATAATCTAATTATAAGTAGGAAAAAAGCATATGATAAAACAATCACCTAGTATAGTAGCACTTTTGTAAGAAAAAAATACTTATGCAGAGGAACAACAGACTAAAAGGATAAATACCTAACTGTGGTTTCCTATCCTTTATGGGATTACGATTTTTTTCCCAAGCTTTTTTTTTTTTTTTCTAGTTTAATGCTTTAAACGTGAATTACTTTTGTAATTTTTAATGTTGTCTTAAAAAAAAAAAAAAAAACCTCCTACCAGGAGAATGCTCTAGTCTGAAACCATACTTAAATATGAAAACAAAACACAGAGAACATTTTCTGCAAAAATTACCCCATCTCCACGCAATGTTTGCCCGTTTGCAAAGCAGTGCACAAATCAAGCGCTGCTCCATGTATCAAGGTCACAAAACCAACTTGGTTAATATGTTTATCATTACATAGTAGCTCTGTCCTCTACAGCTACTTTGATACCATCTTTCCAAGGCAGCAATAGAAGGGCCCTTTCATTAATTTCCTAAGACTCTTTGATACTACTTTGCTGCTTCTGGATTTTTCCACTGTATGTCTCTTAGAAACAAATTAAGCCCGAATAAGTTGTTCCAGCTAATGAAGTGCGCGTTTGGCTCTTTCCCCGTGGTTGAGGACAATCCGGCAAAATACCAATTGTTTCAGGACGCGTTTTCTCTTGGTTTCTAAATACCGCGATGCCAAGTTTCTACAAATAAAGAACGTCAACACAACAACGCACAAGAACACGGATACATGGAAACTACTGTCGCCCCTTTTTAAACCGAAGATGTGTGGAGTCTCCTGAATAAATACTATGTGTTCACATGACACAGATAAAAACAGAAAGGAGTGTGCCCTCCCCTCCTCCTCTACCTAACCTCTCCTCCCCACCACAGAACAGCTTCTCCCAGGGCACAAGCCCAGGGCAATCACTGCTCAGAAATGCAAACCACGCAACTCAAAGTGACTCAAGCTCTCAAACACTTTCCACCTAAGCTCCACATCCCACCCGCCCCTCAATCACTTCCGACAGGCTGCTCTGAATGGAAACCCCAAACTGCGCTCACACGCCCCTCTCGGCATCCGGGCTCCCCGGGCCCAGGGTGAGTGTTTTCGCGTGGACAAACGGGGGTCCCGGGGTTCAGGGCTCTACTGTACCCCCAAGCGGCTGGAGTCCCCGGCTCAGCTGCCTCCTCGGCGGAGCTGGCGCTCTCCACGCCAGGGGCAGGGGCTGCCCCACGCCCGCAGCGGCCCGCGGGAGCCGCAGCGAGGGGCTCCGGGCGGCCCGGCATCCCCGCCCCGCCGTGCGCGCCCCCCCTCGGGGCTCCCGGGCGCCCACGCGGTCCCGCACCGCGCGCTGGGACACGCACCCTCGCGGGGTTGGCCGGGCATCTGCCCGCGCCCCGCTCCCCTCCGTGCCCCCTGGCGCTCGCGTAGCGGCTGCGGCCCGCGGGGTCTACACCGAGCCCCAGGACGCCCGAGCCCGGGGGCTCAGTTGGGGGGTGCTGACAGATGGGGCGAAGGCGGGGCTTCGGGGGGAAGGGGCGGAGCCTGCGCGCATGGGGGTGCTGGCGGCTGACAGAAAGACCCGGGGCAGCGGGCGGGAGGGGCTGGCGGCCGCCGCGGGCAGAGCCGGGGGGTCAGGCGTGGCGGGAGGCAGCTGGCGCAGACACGGGGGGCTGACAGGCAGAGAGAGACACACACACGGAGACTGACAGTCGCGGGGGCGCGCGGGGCCGGCGGGCCGCGGCGGGCGCTCACCTGGCAGCGGCGGCGGCGGCGCCCGCGGCCGGGCCGGTCTCCCCGCGCTCCGGGCCTCCCTCCCGGCGGGCGGGCGGGCGGCCGGCGCAGGGCCCGCGGAGGCGGCGGCGACGCCGGAGCCTCGGACTGCTGGGCGGCGGGGACGCAGCTGCACCAACCGACTCCGGGCCGCTCGGCTCGGCTCGGCTCGGCCGCACTCGGGGCTGCTCGGCTCCGCTCGGCCCCGCTCGGCTCGGCTGGGGGCGGGGCCCGAGGCCCCCCGCCCAGGTCGCCTCCTGCGCCCGGGGGGGGCGGGGCTTTAGTGCGGGCGCGAGCCCCCTGACGTCGCGGGGAGCGGACCTTGCCCCGGACGCATGCGCAGGCGTCGTCCCGCTTTTCCCCGCTAGGAGACTGAAGGGGGCGGAGAAGGAGAGCACAGGGGGCGGATGCTGCGGCCCCAGAGGTTCCCGGCTTTTGTGCTCCATATCCTGGTCTTTATGGAGGACCACCTAAGGAAGGTCACACAAGGCTACTCTTTCGAAAGGATGTAGGCAGGGCAGGGATCCTGGTCCCTGCCGGCCCCTCTCCCTACAGTCCGGTGTTGCCCAACAAGCATCGCCTGGGAGTTGGTGTTTCTTTCTTCCCACCAATGCTCCACGGCAGTTTTTAGTCTCTTCTGTTTCTAAAGGACAACAACCTCTAATGGCTTTTTAACATTAAATTTTCGGGTACTTGACAACTTGCAAGCATGAGTCCCCGCAGGTACAATGATGCTATCCTTTCTTAACAGCTTCCATTGTGTCACCTGTAACACCCAGGATGGGGTTGGGCCTTTCTGTGTTTTTTTCGTCATACGTCGCAGATACCTGTGTTGTCATGGAGCCCAAGCCTATGGCAGATATGCTCAGAAAGCGATCCCCACCTTTAGAATCCAGTGATTAATACACAGCAAGAGCTCTGCAGTCTGACACATCTAGGTTGGCATCCCGGATCTCCATCGTACTGACAGATTAATAATTGGCTGGGTGACTTTGGACATGCCACTTAATCTTTAATCCAAAAAGAGCAATGAAAATATTAGTAATTAAGCCAGTAGAAGTGATTGAAAGATTTAAATGACAGCACCCATTAAGCTTTCTGCACAGTACCTGGTGTTCAATAAATAAAGAGGACTTGAACATCAGGTTGCATTTTAACCCTCAGATTCTGAAAAACAGTGAACGTATAAAGTATTGAGCAATGTGTCAAACTTGACATATCCAAAGCCAAACTCTGGAACTGGCTCCTCAATTTGCTCCTTCCAGTCTTCCCCACCTCATTTAAGATCAGTTACATCTGTCTGGTGGCTCTGGCCAAACCTTGAAGTCATAGTTAACTCCTCTTTTCCTATCAACATATCCCACATGTAATCCAATAGCAAATACCTTTAAAATACCCTCCTTTGAGCCTTTGTCACCTTCTCCCTGGAATATTGCAGTAACCTTCTACGTGCTTTCCCTGATTCACTCTGCTCTCAGAGAGCTTGTTCTCAAGAAGCTAGAGGGATTCTGTTAAAACATAAGTCAAAGCATATTTCTGCCCTTCTCTAAAGCCTCCAATGCCTTCCCATCTCAGAGCAAAAATCAAACTCTTTTTGTCAAGGGCCTCCGAGAGCCTATTGTGACCTCCCCCCACCCAACACTCCTCCCCTTCTCTAACTGCCTCTCCTTGCACCCTACCCCTTTACTCCATTCCAGCCACACTAGCCTCCTTCCTATTTCTGAAACATGCAGGCTCACTCCTACCTCAAGACGTTTGCATTTGCTGTTTCATACCCCCAAGGTTTCAGAAAGGCATGTGCCTTTACTCCAAATATCAAAATTTTCAAAAGTAACTGCCTCAGACTCACCTAGACCACTCTACTAAAACATCAAGTCCCACCCTCCCCCATCATTCTCTCTCCCCTCATCCCGCTTTGCTTTTCCTTATAGCCCTTATGACCTTAATATTTGTAATGTTCTGAGGGCAGGGCTTGGTGTTGCTCATCTGCAGTATCTGGAAAATGGCCTGGTATGGTGAGATCCTCGCTATATATTCCTTGAATGAATAAGAGTATATATGGAGGAACGCCTGGGTGGCTCAGTTGGTTAGGCCACTACCTTCGGCTCGGGTCGTGATCCCAGGGTCCTGGGATCGAGTCCCGCATCGGGCTCCTTGCTCGGCGGGGAGCCTGCTTCTCTCTCTGCCTCTGCCTGCCTCTGCCTGCCTCTCTGCCTGCTTGTGTGTACTCTCTCTCTGGCAAATAAATAAAATCTTTAAAAAAAAAAAAAAGAGTATATATGGAACATGTTGCTCAGAGTTAACTTCATTTACTCAACAAACTTTTTGAGCATCTATTCCAATCCAGGTACTGTGGGATATGGAGGTAAACAAGGCATTCTCCCAAGCACTAAGGAAATCAGAGTTTCAAATGAGAAAGACATATAAAGAAGTACTTTTGGAAGAAATATGGGGCACCTGAGTCGCTCAGCCCATTGAGCGTTTGCTTCAGCTCAGGTCATGATCCCAGCGTCCTGGGATCGGCAGGGAGCCTGCTTCTCGGTCTCCTGCTCCCCTTGCTTGTTCACTCTCTCTCTGTCAAGTAAATAAAATCCTTAAAATCAACAATAACAACAACAACAACAAAAACCCTTAAAAAATGGAAGGGAATCTGTAACACTACATGTATGTGCTACCTGCTTTGGGAAGCCAAGAGAAGGACATAATTAATATAATATAGGAGAGTGTAGAAAGTCCTTCCACGGGAGCTGAGTCTGAAGAATTGAGGGAGGAGGAGAGGACTCCAGGCAGAGAAAACAGCATGTACTCAATAACCAGTTACTGAGTTAGGAATATAACCAGTTGGGATCTATGTCACAAATAGTATTTACCCAAGGAGACAAATTATTTTTCTTTAAAAAAATAAATAAGCAGGTTCCAGATGATCGCTATAATAATGTCATCTGAACACACTCACATTCTGATGAGCTTTCTGAAGCAGGAAAGGAACTGCCAGAAGTATAGTTGATGCAACAGAATTGCCACCTGACTTCTGTTTTACTGGAATAGGCTACACCTGTGACCCTTTTGTATACGTGTCAAGGTCCAGAGCCAAAGAACTTGCACCAGTTAGGAGTTTGCTGGCTGCGAGTACCAGTATTCTCCCAGATCACTTAAAAAAAAGGAGGAGGGATTTATCTTACAGCTTTTTAAGGGTCAAAGGGATGGGTCTCTCAGGCCAGCAAGAACCCAGATGGACTTCTGGATGGATTGGAAGCACAGGGTTACCAGTAAGACTCTCACCACAAGCTTGTTTTCTCTCCTTCCAGGTAATACAATGGAAAAATACATCTACCAACTACTCCCAAGTACGTGATATAATTCCAGCTACACTAATTTTTTAGTCTCTGTGGGATCTTTCCAATCCCAAAATCTCAGAGAAGAGGCTCTAATTGACCCAACTTGTGTCAGGTGTCCCTTCCCTCCCCCAGAACAATCATGACCAGCTTACAGGTCACGTAGTCCATGAGAAACTCACTTCTGTGGATCAAGACCACAAAAAAAGAGAATTGCTTTGAGTTGAGGAAATATCTTTTTTTTAAAGATTTTATTTATTTATTTGACAGACAGGGATCACAAGTAAGCAGAGAGGCAGGCAGAGAGAGGAGGAAGCAGGCTCCCCACGGAGCAGAGAGCCCGATGTGGGGCTCGATCCCAGAGCCCCGGGATCATGACCTGAGCCGAAGGCAGAGGCTTTAAACCACTGAGTCACCCAGGCACCCCAAGTTGAGGAAATATCTTAAAAGGAGTCCCTCAAACAACCATGAACTCCACTTAATGGCAAAACACCTGGGAGGCATTTGATAGTCACACAGAAAGTGAGTACTGAGTTTTCCTGATTTCTGCAGAGTAGGGAGGCTTCTTTTTACATAGCAATCAAAACCATAAGTTATTCCTTTCCCAACAAAAAGTGGGCAAAAACTGGGGTGGTCTCCATAAGCCCTCTGTGGTGCATATTCTGCTGGCCTCCTGTGGTAGTGCACATTAATGCTAGCCACCAGACATTTCTGGTGTGTTTTCCATACACGTGATAGGATTGTACTTCCTTAGAGTTTTGAGTCAGGGATGGCCACACCACTTCCTTTGGTCAAATAATGTGTGAGTAGATGTACTCCCAGGTCCAAACTTTAAGAGCTAGTAGGCAATTCTGTATACTCTCTTTCCCTCAGCAACAACAGGCAACGCTGAAGATGGTGGTAACTCCACGATTCTGGGTCCTGAAGGGAGGAAACATTAAATAGTGGTCCCCCAGGGAACTCACAGTACACATGTAGTAGGAGCAAGAAATAAACTTTGCTGTTATAAAAAGACTGGGGCTTGTTTACTACCACAGCAAAACCTAGTCTATCCCGACAGATACACCTTCTAACATCCAGTCTATCCCACTGGCCATTGTACAGCACGGAGGCACTTTGGATGGGATAGACCCCATCCCCCACATGTGAGTGTGGATTCTCTGCTAAGTCAGTTGACTTAATCCCATCT